CCTTTTTATTTTTATTTTTTAACAAAAAAGAGAAAGAAAAAGGGAAGCTGTTTTTCTTTTCTTTTCTTTTTTTCTTTTTTTTTTTTTTTGAACAGTTTTATGTAGGAGCCAAGGATTCCATTGTTCCTTGGCAAAAAACTGAAAAAGGATTACAGTTGGCCTTAGTTTGAACCAATTCTTTCCAGGACCTTCGTGTTATGCACCTGCAGATGCAGAAAATGGACAGAATTCACTACTTGTCAAGATTACAAGAGAAGAAATCCCAATTCAAATTGCATTCCCCTGTTTTCCTCAAATTTGAATGATTTTTGAGGACGGTAGAGCCTGCCCTCCAAGGGGATCTGACAAGCTGTATTTTTCTTTGAATTTTCCTTCCAGAAGCTCATTAGTAGAATTGCAAAAGGAAATCTCATAATGCATTTTTTATCATGGTAAAGTCTCATGTTAATTACACAGGTGGAGGAGGTAAGTCCAATAAAAGCCAAAATCCAACGCAATCATCTGAATCTAAATCATCCTGGACAGCAAGGAAATGCAAACCTCCACAAGCCTTCTTTGCTGCTTCCCAAGCTTCAGCTTCGCTTGTTGTTACTGGCGTTTTCTTATAAGTTGCATAAACATAACGTGTAGAAATTCCAACAGATAGAATCAAAGAAGCACGGGCCGTATCGGCTTCAACAGAACAAACTTCCAGTCCGTTCATCCAAGCTGCAAAATGAAACTAAACAACCATAATGAGTAAAACAAAATTAAGACATCTAGACATTAGATGAGAAACGAATTTGGGATAAACAATTTTCCCAGAATGGGTTAAAATTTCTGATTTGTTGGGTATAGCTCCATGCCAACGTGCCATTGTTAAACAAATGCAAACATGGAATGGCATGCTTAGATATGGGAGATGAGGAAATCAGAGACAAAATGGACCTCCCAATGGTTTTGCACGTGAGGATGCAACTGCAAGTCCTGGAATTAGTGTCTTGTCATCAACTTCAATCCCCAATAAATCCAAATCTAGACCAGCACCAAAAACAAATCTTGCCTCCAAGGTTGAGATTTCTTCTTTAACAGCTAGAAAAGGAAAGTAAAATCAGTTTCAACCGGCCAGGCGGATATGACAAGAAAAGAAAAGTACTCTGTTGCTACTTCTTGGTTTAGATATGGATCATAGATTTCCCTTTTTGGTCCAGATTATGATGTTAAGTCTTGCAAAACGTGCTGTTAAGAATTTACAGCTACAAATTCATCTTCAGGGTTTATCAACATATGCTAAGTAATGAGGTGCGCAAAACAGAAAACATAGTAAGTAAATATGAATATTTACCTGAAAAAGGCAACTGGACAAACGCCCATTTATCTCCAAACAAGTTCTCTGGAAGTTCCATTGGGAAGGGATTATCTAGTGCCAAAAGTGGCTTGGAACCTTTCTGAAATCCAGGATGACGCATATAAACTGTCTCATATCGTTCTTCCAACCAAAGAAGTAGTGACAGACACTGAAAAATAGCAACAGCAGTTAATAAATGAGTATTCATAGATACTCAAATTGAACTTCATGGCAATACCTTTTAAGAAACAAGGACTCTCCACACCAGGAAAATACAATGGCATGCAACTTTGGAATCAAGTTTGTCATAAATGGAGCTAAATTTCCATTTTGCTTGGTTAACATGTGAAGATATCGAGGGTAAAAGAAGTGACAAGAAATATCATTGTCTTTGAAGATATTAATGTCATTCTAACCATATCTGTCATTCCACTTTTTATGTTTCCCTCACTAAATCATTATTCTTAAAAAGAAAAAAAAAGAAAAAAAAAAGGGCGTCCCAATTCAGCATGAATAGGAAATATATATAATACAAAAAGGGAAAAGGTGAAGAAACTCACACGTTTACTTGGAACAGGCTTTATACCAAGCTCCTTACAAGCTTTTGTTATAATTGTTTGCATCTGTGACCTATAAACCAATCAAAGAAACCAATTAACCACGTATCCTTGCCTACATACATCCTCAAGCTCTCAAATTCATATGCATATATTTTGCACAAAACACTAGCAAAACATTTCACCTGAAGAAGCGAACTTTTTCTGGCATAGGGACACCCAAATCCTCACTAATAGACACAATAGCCTCCTTTAAAGTAATACTATTGATAACATTATTGGGAAAGTACTTCGTATATTGAAGCGAAAGAGAAGTATCGCACACAACAAGCTCCCATATCTTCTTCCCCCTCACATCAAGGATTGGGCGAGAGCAAAAGTCCAATTCCCACTCCTTAATACTCGTGGGATCTGTCTCCGGGTCAAGGTAGCTCAATTCTGAAGTTGGGTCGTCTTCAATTTCATCATATTCGGACTCCTTGGGTGCCGAAACAGAGCTTTCAGATATGGAGTTGAGTATGAAATGATGGTAGTATTTCGACGGATTTGGAGAGACAACAAATGAGATTTTAGTGGGTTGTGAGAAAGATTGGAACTTGGGAATGGGTTTTCGAGACTGAAAAGTTGGGGTTTTGATTCTCGAAGGATTGAAGCCTAGAGTCGCCATGGAAGGTCGTGGGGAGAGAGCTTGATCGATATGGTGGTTCTGTTTATCTATCCGTTATTTGTGCGCCACACATGATATCATATCAGTATTCAGTAGATGGAAAAAGGATTTAGCTACAATTTTTGTATTATTATTATTATTTTTTATTTACTTTTAATAATAAAAATTTAATTATATTTATTAAAAATAATAATTTTTTACTTAAAAAATTATAACAACTCTTAATTATTTAAATTAAAAAAATAAATCATTAAAATTTTATATAAATATAAGATAAAAATTTTAGGTATAAATAAGTATTTCTTTAAAAATTAAAATAATTAAAAGTCAGTTCTAGTAAAAATAATTCGTAAAAGAAATGTTTAAGTTCTGTCTCGACATCTCCTGCAACGGCTATATTTGGCTGTTGGGTTGTCACGGTGGTGGGTGGGCCCCGCACAACACGTTGTGCGGCATTAAAGATTGGGCTTCAAAATTGAAACCGCGTTACGGAGGGAAAAATAAAAACTCACACTTTTGACCCTCAACGTTTACCAAGTAATCAGTTTAGTTCTTAACGTAATTTCATTATTTAACAAGTCATTATATATTCTTTTTAGTGTGTATTGAACTGTTTCCAAGTGTCTATCCATATTACATATTTAAATATGAATTCTTTAGCCAAATTAATCATTCCCATGTTAGAAAACCATGCCAAATTGAAAAAAAACAAAAATTTACTTTTTGTCTTATAATTTAAAGCATTTTAAAAAAGTAAATTGTGCAAGTATTTATTTTTTCATCTCAAAAGCCCATTGAAGAATGCTACTCACACTACTATTCACTCCATGCACTCAACATCTAATTGGTGGAGTGCTAAATTTCTTTTTTTTTAAAAAAAAAAAATCATAAATAACATAATCTTTATAGTATGCTAACTGCAAGTAGCATTATTCAAGATTATAAAATATTAAAATATACATTAATTTGGTAGTGTGGGTGTTAGCTAAATTAATGATACGTATTTTATTTTTTTATTTATGTTACATGGGTGTTTAATATTTAATTGGAAGAACAAATGACTATTTTGTAAAGTTTAAAAATGTAAGTACCAATTCCTTGATTCTAAAGTTAAGGGATACTTTGCAATTTTCTTAAATCTTGAGGACTAAACTCAAATTTACTGTAAAATCGTGGCTGACAATTGTCATCAAGAGTTCTCCATTTTCTTTGATTTTTCTCTAATTAAGCAACTCAGCGGCCGAATCTCCTCAATTTACTCCTCCGTTATTTCCTCACAGAAATCAACGATTTACATCCACTCCCTCCTCCTTCTGAGAAACTACCAAGAAAACAAAGGAAAGAGGAAGCAAAAGAAAAAAGAAAAAAGAAAAAAGAAAAAAAATGTCGCCATTGATCCCTTGTTAACTTGGGAAGAAGGAAAGGGAACATTATTTTTTTTTTCACCACCAATTGCATGATGGTGCAAGCCTCCGGCGGAAATCTACAGTGCATTAACTTTGTATCGCCGGACATGGTGAATGAATGGACCAAGTTTGTACCTCTCATTTTGATGTATGTTCTTAGCAGGATCGCCCACCATATTCTAAGACCTCTGTCCCAACCTTACATAACTTCTGATATTATTGTAAGCCCCTCTCTTGTTTTTTCCTATGTTGTTCAACTTCTGCTGCGGTTTTGTTTTTAAATATTGATGCAAGGGAATTTGGAAACTTGTATGGATAGTGTTAATTAATTAGTTAATACATGGCTTCTGATTTATGAAAAAGAAAAAAGGTTCATTCTCATGGCTTCTCATGGTGATTAATTCGATTGGGTTGTTTCTTGAACGAATGCAGATTGGACTTTGTATGGGCGCCTTACAACTAGTTCGGAAGTCACTTGGGGATCAAATCATTTTGATTTTAGAAAACATAGCCGATTTTGGGATGATTTGTTACATGTTTGTGTTGGGTTTGGAAATGGATCCTTTCGTTATCTTTAAGCCGCCAATGCGGGACGCCATGCTGGCTTACGCTGGGATGCTGACCACCTTGATATTAGCCTGCGCCATAACCCCATGGTTGCATTACTCCCTTGATCCCGATGTTATCCGATTTACCCTCTGCCTCGCCGTCAGCCTCTCTGGCAATGGCTCTCACGTCCTCACTCGCCTCATAACCAATCTCAAAATTGGCAAATCCGATGTAGGAAAGCTCGGGATTGGAGCAGCGGTGCACTCCGATATGATCACCATGCTTCTCCTTTCGATTGGCTTTGTTCTGTTTCCACCAGGGTACCTCACCACCACCCCCCAAGAACGCCTCAAGGACACCATCAAAATGGGTTCGGCGCTGATGATCCAAACCATTTTGGCAGCAAAACTTTCTCCAATTTTCATGAATTGGGTTAACAACGAAAATCCTGAAGGAAAGACCCTCAAAGGTTCACATCTCGTGCTCTCTATGGCTTTCATGGTCATAATCTGCAGCTGCGCTCCATGGTATGGATACAGCCCCTTCATGAGTGCGTTCATGGCGGGACTCTTCTTGCCATCGGAAGGGAGAATATCGAAATGGGCAATCAGTAAAATCAATTACACGTTGACCATACTCTTCTATCCTCTCTTCTTCTTGTGGATTGGGTGTAGACTTGATTTAGGTGCTTTTAAAGGGCTCAAACCAATTACCTGGGCAAATTTTTTTATCCTGTTACTCATAACAACGCTCGGAAAAGTCGTTGGAACTGTCATCTGCGGTATTATGTTGGGTTTCCATTGGCCGGAGTTGATCTCGCTTGGATTGCTTTTAACGGCCAAGGGCCATTTCCATGTATACTTTGGCGTCTATGCTTTCAGGGTAAGTTTTCCATATTGCTTGGTGTAAATACCGATTCGTTATCAATGATTTTCCCTTCAATTTAATTAATGCAGAAACAAAGTATAGATAACACAACCAGCTTATCGATGTTGTTCGTTGTGTTCTTATCGGTGGTGCAAATACCGTTCCTCGTGAACTGTATCATCGAACGTGCGAGGCAACGGGTCCCGATTCACCGGATGGCGCTCCAGTGGCTAGAACCGACATCGGAACTCCGAATCTTGCTCTGCTTTCATGGCCCTCATAACGTTCCTTCTTTAATTAACTCCACGGAAATTTCCAGGGGGAGACCGAACCCGGGGATTGTTGTTTATGTGACCGACATGATTGAACTGACAGACGAAATCGCCGCCACACTGGTGAGAAACAATGAAGGGGCGAAAACCCCCACCGTGACTGACAAGTCAGTAACGGAGATGAGAGACCAAGTTACCCATATGTTCCAATCATATGTGGATGAAAATGGCGAAGGAATCACCCTCCGCCGAATGCTAGCTCTGTCGACCTTCAATGACATGGCCCAAGATATCAGTGCTTTAGCAGAGGACTTGATGGTGTGCCTCATCATCTTGCCATTCCACAAGAATATGAACGCCGATGGGACACTAGACGGGGGCCATCCTGGGTTTAGATATGTCAATCGTAAGGTAATACAGGGATGCTTTTTTCCAAATTTGGAAGCTCATGCTTATATTAATGAATTGATAACGTTCTTGGTTAATTCTTTAACAGCTTCTTAGGAATGCCAAATGTTCAATCGGAATTCTGGTCGACAGAGGATTCGGATCGGTACAAAAAATATCAAAAGCATCGCCTCTTATGGTGGCTATCATTTTCATTGGTGGGAAAGATGATCGGGAGGCATTGACCTATGCTGGTCGAGTAGCTTGGCATCCAGGAGTGAAGCTCACAGTGATAAGATTTCTAGTAGATAAAAACTCAGAAAACGCACCGAGGAGAGTGAACCGAAGGGCAAGTGTGGCGGAGCAAGAAGAAGAGATGAAGCTTGATGATGAGAGCTTCGCCCTTTTCTATGAGAGATACATAGCAGGAGGGAATGTTGCTTATACTGAGAAGCATCTTGCTAATTCATCTGAGACCTTCAACACGCTCAGGTCACTGCAAGAGCAGGAGTACTCGCTTATCATTGTAGGGCAAGGTGGGAGGGTGAATACAGTATTGACAATGGGACTTAATGATTGGCAGCAATGTCCAGAACTGGGTCCTGTGGGAGACGTTCTTTCAGGGTCTGGTATATCCAGCAAGACCTCCATTTTGATAATCCAACAACAGAGTTTAAAAGGACAACTAGATGGTCTCAGCGATGAGTTCTCCATCATGTAAATGTCAGTCCTGTCACAATAGTTTTTAAACTTTAGGGTGCCAGTATGAACCAGATTACTTCTAGATTGTAGTTGATAGATAGGTGATAAAAGATTTGTCATCCTTCAAAAGTTCATCCTCATGCAGAAACCATGAAACAGAAAACGATGAATGTGAGTTTCAAATGGTGCTTGAGATGGAGAATGTCCATATGACTTCATTGATAGCTTTGATGATAAGAGCATCAACTCTCTAGTACATAGCTTGTAACCAAAATCCCCCTAAAACTATATCAAAGCAAAACAATGCCACAGAAGTCATGGTTCATTCCTTTTTCAAAATCAGAACACAGAAGCAGTTCCTTTAGCACCTGATCAAATCTGGATCAGTATTCCCCCCGAATGCTTTGCCATTTCAGTCTACAAAACAGTACTAAGAGATTAGAGGACTGCACCTAATATATCCATTATGACAAGTCTGAGCAACCATAGAGCAAAATTTTGATAAGAACACAGAATTCATTCAATGTTATGCAAAAACAAATGAGTGTGCCAGCCAGCTGCGGCTTCACAGAGAACTATGTTACTTGCATGGTGTAAACTTCATATTGACATATAGCCCAGCATATAAACCACTTCTATACGTACAGAACAAATCAACAACCCGATCAGATCTTTACTGTAAGAATGCATTTCAACAAAAAAAGGAAGCAAGGAAGAAAGGGCCGGGTCCTAAACACAAGTATGTCCAAGCGCACTGCATTTCTGGTTCAACATTGCATCCAAGATTGCTCTAGAAACACAAGCCTCCTAGCTAGAGAATAAAAGGAACTGCTCATTCCTCAAATTATCCAAAAAAAAAAAAAAA